GCAAAAGAAACTGGGCAATTATAAGTGTACAGGACGAAAATATATGTACTTGCATTTGTATATGCAATTTTCTCACGCTTTATACAAACAGAAACGCAATTTATATATTTCGCTTCTGTTTGTATAAGTGAGAAAGGCGAGAGTGGCGAGTGAGATTAGGGAGAGTGGCGAGCGAGATCTGGAAGAGGGGGGAGAGAGGAACAAAAATATATGTATTTATACAATTTTCTTTGCTTTATACAATTAGAAACAATTTTTATACACTTGTGTTTGTATAAAAAGTGAGGAAGCGAGCGAGAGATTGGAGGAGAGTGGCGAGCGAGATATTTGGAAGAGAGGCGCTTGACAATTTTTTGCAAACGTTTGCTATGTAGCACAATTAAATCAAACCCTAGCTACTCCATTTATTTTAGGTTATTAGTTTGCCATTATATACAATTGTCCCTTTAAAATTTGAATGTCAGGCTAGTTGTTGGGCTGCTTGTTAATCTATTTAAGCATCGATTGAAATGTAATTGTGAAAACTCACATGTTACTAGTGGGAAGTGACAGATATCTCATGAAATAATTAGTCGAAGTGCGAAAAAATTAATTTGAATTCCACGATCATAAAATACATTTTAAAAAAAATAATTGGTATGTGCTCTAATTACACTTACTTGTAATGTGAGGGTGAAATTCCTTGAAAAAAGACCAATTGTTTTGAAGGAACAATGTTGGTGTCGATCCATTTAGCCCATGTAAGCAAGGCTTTCTCAAAAGCAACCATACGATCCATATCTTTGTAATATTTGCCTCTTACTTTAATATAATCCCATCTACAAAGATTATAAAATCAAAATATTAAAACAAAATATCTTGGCAAACTTAATAATAATAATAATAATAAGCATATTACTAGTTATGTATACTAACGGTTGAGAAATTCCTCTACGATTCCACCAATGCCAAGTGTTGAAAATGAGCATATCAATTCCTTTCCATAATTTACCACCTTTAATTGAGTCTAATTTTAATATTCTTCCCTTTTTTTCCATCACAACATCCACTAAATATACACTGCGGTCTAACATCACTTGAACTCCAAAATCCTGAAAAAAATAAAAAGGTTAATTTATTTTTTTTTATAAATTTTAGGTTTTGAAGTTAAATTTAGAGGGAAAATAGAAAGAAAAGAAGTTTTAAAAAAAAATCATGAAAAGGGTGAGTTTTAATAGTATGTGATATATTAATTATTAATGTGTCATTTATGAACTATTTTTTGTACTTATCCGATTAATCTGAATTCATATTTGTCACGTCCATCCTTGGTGGGGTGGATCGACACATAGAGAAATTGTGAGACATAAAGAAACATATTAGCATAGAAAAATCACACTCTTGGTATAAAACGATTCTTAATTTCCTATTTGAAGCGTCTTCATTTTCGGACATCAAATACAAAATCTATTATTAAAGTTGGAGACAATTATAAAATCTACGTATAATTATTTTATAAGTAATATGATTATGTATATTTATTGTCTACACTTTTAGTACATAAAGCTTAAACTCGAAAAAAAATACTAGAAAAACTTGAGATATTTCCTCAATGGCTCTAATTACTTCGCTGACCATGCTATTCCATAACGTGGAAATATGTACGAAGCTGAAACACGACCTAACTCAATTTTTAAAAGTTAGCTCAGAAAGGGACGTTTGTTCAAGTTCATGTAAGAACACCAATTTCCCATCCCTCTATCGATACGAAACTTCTTAACAAAAATAATTTTTTTTTTCTAAAAAAGGAAGTGTCTTCTCTAGCTCTAACACTTTCTTTTCAATTATTGGTACATTGATTGTTGAGGTCTTGAGATAGTAACAGTTCTAACTCCTAACGAATAATTTAAAGGCATGTGGTTCATAAATAACAAATTGATAATTTTTTATATTTTGAAAAATGTAACAATTAGATAAGATATATACGTGAACCAATTGCTCATATGTCACTATAGGAAGACAACTTATATGGTTTACTTTAGATTCATTTTCAGTCAATTTCACATTTTAGGACCCCCCCCCCCTCCCATACTTAATAATTTGTATGTTTGTATTTTAGATAAGATTCACAATAATTAGTCACGTCTAGACACTGTTGATTAATCAATATTTAATAATCCAGCCAAATCCTTCACTATCACAAAAGACTTGTTATTAAATATGTATAGATACAAATAAGACGTTAAGTGGACGAATTGGATTAAATTTAGGAATAACGGAGTTAATAAAATAAAGGAAAAACTGCAGTCTAATTAGATGATTTTGTTTATAAAATATGTACCCAGTATATAAATAGTATATACTAAATATACATAATATATCTTTGATATACATATCTATACACAACATGTACGATTAATTTTTTTTTAAAAAAAGAATCTTATTATATGGTGCAAATGAATATTTAGGATAAAAATGAAAAAAGGGAATTTACCAAAAAGGTGAAAATGGAGACATCACCAATTCTTGTTGTATTATAATTGGCTTTAGGCTGTGATGTGTAAAGAAGGCATACAAGTGACAGCCACTGATTTCTGCTAAGAGAATCTCCCACAAACATTATGCTTTTTCCTTTGAATTTCTTTAAAAATGCTCCTCCATCAAATCTGTATATAATATGTATATATAATATATATATATAAAGACAAAAAAAATAGTAACCATCTTTTTGAAGAATCCACTAAGAGTTTGTTATCATTTCTTTAATTATAAGATGGAATTACATGAGCTTTTTAACTAACTTCAATTATAGCGATATGAGTGTAGACTTAGCCTAGTGTAGACTCGTAATAAGATGACCTACTAGGGTTTTAATAGTTATAGCTTAGTCGTTTATCGAAGAAATGTAGAGTATCACTATCAGATTCATTTGAACACAATAATCTACACTTTATAAAACGTTTTGAGGCAAAAAGAGAGAAATGTATTAGCCAATTACTAAAAGGTAAAAGGCAAAGATATTGCATTGTGGTATTTCAAAATATGATTGCCCCAACCACTTTTCTTGACTAGTTAGGCGTCACTATATTTATTAACTCTTTGAAAAAATAATTTTGAGTATAAGTTAATAGAGTTACCACCTCAAAAATCTAGATCCACTATAATAATTGCATATATTTATTAACTCTTCGGAAAATTAATTTTACAATTTATATGAATAAGCTAATAAAGC